AACCACTCAACAGTTCCTTCTGACAGGGATTGGTCAAGGTTTCACTACACTTCACTTGCTTCATCAGAGTCTTTGTGCTACAGGGTAAGGCAGGGGCATCCTGGGACCTCCAAACTTGCTCCAAATAGGTTCTGCCATTCCCTGTATCAATATAAAACATACTCTAGTGCATAGAATGTTCAATGGAAAGGAACTTTAATACAATTAGTGTGCAGTAAAAAGAAGGGAAAGAATAGATAAAATAGTTTCTTTGTGAACTACCCAAAGCTACTCATCCCCTCATGGGTAAAAGCCCAACCAAACAGGATTGGCCCAAAGCTAGGACTTCTGAAGCTCAAAAGCCTACCACAGTCTAAGGCAACTTCTGATGGGAAACCAGAGGAGAGGGCTGAAGGGGCCAGGAAAATCTAGAAGGAATGGAGCAAAATCAAGATACATGTCAAAGTAAAAGCTGCCATTGTCAGCCTCCCCATAGGTCTCAGTCCAAGGCTGAGAAGCAAGTGCAGCTTCTTCACGTGTTCTCTGCTCCATGTGCCACCTCCAGTTCTCCTTCTTGATCTTCTCCTTATTTTCTCCCTCTCTTTCATAGCATCTCTCTACTCAGCTCCACCCTTTCTTAGATTGGACAGGGGAACCTCCCCTTTATATGAGTTTACAGTTACATTTGAGAATGAGGGCTATAAACTATCTATCTACAGATTTTTTTATTTTTGTATAGAAGAATGGGGGTGTAGATCAGAGGTGCAGGGGGTGAGAAGATCCACCAGAGACAGATTGGGGTGCAAAACAGATGGGTTTATTATTACACTGCTGAGGGAGCAGTGGGCAAGACAGGAGAGTTGTGCTGTGTCATGGGGGTTAGTTCTCCAGCCAGGGATCAAACTCAAGCCCTGATTAGCAATGATAGCACTGAGACTTACCTGTAGGCCACTAGGGAGGACCTCTCTATTTTTTTTAAAGATTTATTTATTTATTCATACAAAACTGGGGTACAGGCCAGAGATGCGGAGGGTGAGAGGATTCACCAGAGACAGAGTGGGGAGCAGAACAGGCAGATCGACGAAGTACACTGCTGCGGGGAGCAGCGGGCAGGTCAGGAGGGGTCTGCTGCGCCATGTGGTCTCTTCTGGGGCAGGCGGGAATTGAACTCATGCAGAAGTGGCTTTAGCTTTTTAGTTCTGTGCTTTAACCCGCTGCACCACCAGGGAGGACCTCTCTCTATTTTTTAAAAGAATTTTTTTAATACCTACAAGAACTGGGGTGTAGGCTAGAGGTGTAGGAGGGTGAGAGGATTCACTAGAGGTAGAATGGGAGCAAGACAGGTGGATTTACTGAAATACACTGTTGAGGGGTGACACAAGCTATACAACTTCTGTCGACCAATAAATTCTGGATAGAACGGAAAAGCTCTGAAAAATCAGAATTTCCATTGCTAATTTATGTTATGGCCTCCCTTTTTTGTATAGTCATGATATCAAAATATTCTCAGCAACCATCAGTTTACAACTGGATTGCCTTAGCCCATAAGGCAAGCAGTCGCTGCCCCAGGGACAGCTCCTGAGACAAAAGGCTAGCCCCAGAAGAGATAAGAACCCCAGGGCATAAAAACTCCTGGAAAGCTTCCTTGTTTTTTTTAAACAAAAAAGCAAATCTCAGGTAAGACTCCAAGGGTAAAAGTACTCATGGGCAATTTTTTAACCTTGTTTACACAGGTGTTGCTTAATAAATGACTGTACAACTTTTTCTTAACTTACTCCTTTTAAAAATAACCACTAACAACTCTCTCCTAGCCTTAAACCTACCTTTTCTTAAACAAACACTAACTACTCTCTGCTAGCCTTAAATTAGCCATTAGCTTTTCTTTAGACAATCACTGATAACTCTGCTAACACAATTTATTACTTCCCTAAGACCTCTGATAATCTTTTGCTAACAGCTCATCCTTTCCCAGACTCCTCTTCCCTTGAGTTATAGTTAAACATCTGTATACAGGACAATTATCACAAATATATATAATTTAGTATACCATACATAAAATGTTAGGAACAAAATGCTTTGTTCCCCTTGTCCTTGAGAACGTTTATGACAATTTATGGCAATTTCTCATTAACTTACCCTATTCATTATTGTAACTAACTACTTGCTACACAGTATAAATAAAGACCTGCTGAGATAATGAGCAGGAAGACTTGCACCCAACTCTGACTCCCGTGTCTTCCTCACATCCACTCCGCTTTTTGGAATTTCCACTTGCTGACACCTTCCCATCCTGACAGCTCCATAGTTGGGGCCTGACAGAAAGGAGCAGTGGGCGAGACAGGAGAGGTCTACTCCCTGGCTGAAGAGTGAACTCAGGCCATTGTGGTGCTAGTGCTGAATCTTAACCCCAAAGCCACCAAGAAGGCCCCTAAAATATGTATTTTTTAAAAGATTTATTTTTTATTTATGCTTACAGAACTGGGGCATTGGCCAGAGGTTTGGTGGGTGGAAAAATTCATCAGAGACAGAGTGGGGAGCAGAACCGGCAGATGTACTGAAGTGCACTGCTGAGGGGAGCAGCGGGCAGGACAGGAGAGGTCTGCTGCGCCATGTGGGTCACCTCCCCGGAGGGGGATCGAACTCATGTTGCTTTGAAGAGCTTTATAGTGTGGTGCTTTAACTCGTTGCGCCACTAGGGAAAGCCCTAAAACATGTATTTTTAACAACTTTTGTAGGCTGCCATCACCTTTCTGAGAGAACTTAGTAACAGCAACTTTTTTATGCTCTGAGAAAGGAAAACAATCTCCTTAGAGAGACTCTGTGATTCTCAGAAGACCAGCCCCAGAGATAGAATTGAGACACACTTTAAAAGAATGACTCCTTTTTCAATTCTGGATCTATCTGCCATACCATATAAGCCAAATGAAAAACTCAGTGCTTAAAAAACACTAAAAGATTAGATGACTGAGCCTTCTATGGGGTCAAAGTTCAAAAAATAATATAGTGTCATTCTTTAAGAAGATCAAATCATCATTGGAGTTAAGACGGTGATGTCATCTCCAAAGTTTGAGTGATTAACCGGAACTTCAGATCTGACTAGGGCTTTCCAGTAGGAGCTTTGTGGAAAGCCCATGTAGAAGGTTTCAGTATAATCCTTTTATCCACTCAACAGAAACCTGCTATTTTGCAGACACTGTGCAGGATGCTGAGGTCCATAACCACAGCAGTATTTGCATTTGGTAACAACATCATGATGGAAGATTGATTTTCCTGTGGGCTTAAAAAATCATTTGGAGTAGACTACAGGACTATAACCAAAGGAAGATACAGAGAACCACTTTTTAATAGTTGTCAACCATATTAAGGTGGTTGAGTTACCATTTAATCTCACAGTAACTCAGTTATTAGTTCCAGAATTGTAAAGTCATTTCTAAAATAAATAAAAAGGAAGAGTGAAGATACACCCAAGTCTGATACACCAATGGATCTCAAATCTGGGGTGTGCACAGAATTGACTAGAAGGAACTTTTAAAGCAGTAGATGACAGTCACTCATGATGTACTAAAATCGAATCTCTGGTGTTGGGGAAAGGTAGAGGAGAACCCCTGGAAAGGGGGAGTTTTACAAAGTAACTCTACTGATTTTGGAGAGCCAATTTTGGAACCACTACCCTACTCTTTGATGCCAATTTTGGAACTACTACCCTGCTCTGTGTTGCCTACCCAAACTAAATGCCATGTTTCAAGACCTGACATACTTTAAAATTAGTTATTACAGGGCTCTCCCTGGTGGTGCAGCAGGTTAAAGCACAGCACTAAGAGGCTAAAGGCACTTAAGCATGAGTTCAATCCCCACCTTGGAGGTGACCCACATGGTGCGGCAGACCTCTCCAGACCCGCCCGCTGCTCCGCTCAGCATTGTACTTCGTCAGTAAGCCTGTTCTTCTCCCCACTCTGTCTCTGGTGAATCCTCTCACTGCCCCTGCAGCTCTGGCCTGTACCCCAGTTCTGTACGCATAAATAAATACATCTTAAAAAAATTAGTTATTACACTCAATAACTAACTTGGCCCTAAATGCAATGACATAATAACTCTCCTGCTTTGGAGTGAGACAACCATTTCCCCCCTCTAAGTTTTCTTTAATCATAAATAAGCCTTATAGAGATAAGGGTCATAACTAACAGTGGGGAATGTACAGAGGGCTAGGGAGGAAGGGAAGGATATCTAGTATAGAAATCTCCACATACATAATTAATATAGGTGGCATATATACACTCTATGACTGATGATTTGTTTTTCTTAAACTAAAATTCTTGCTTTGAACTGAGATTCCTGCCCTGAGGAAGCCCAAAGGGGTGCTGGACATTGACCTCATCAGATGGGCCAGGGTCGAGATAACCAGAAGGCTGGTTAAGTTCTAGGGACTAAACGTGAAGAATACCTGAAACATCAACTGAGAGGGGCTGCTCTGATGCCTTGTGGAGGAGAGTGGCACTTTCATGCCCACAAGAGACGGGGTTAATCAAGAACCCCAAAGTAGTCCTGACACCAAACTGGGTTTATCTGAAACCAATGAAGGTCTACATATTGGGTTCCAGAGCTTTGACTAATCAAGGATGATATTCCTCTCGACTGTCCCCTCCTCCCTTCCCAGACTACCTATCGCCCCCCCTACACCCCCACCCCCAAGGCCGCCCCAAAGTACTCGGCTTTCTTCATCAAGACTAGAAAAGACAGCACATAACGGGATCTCCTAGGTGGGTGGCGGGGGGTAGGTGGTCAGACCCGGCACGCCAGCCGGCAGAAGCAGGCGGAGAACGCAGTGTGAAAGCATAGCGGGGACTGAAAGGTCGCTTAGCTTGCCAACGCCGCGGCTGTCAAACGCTTAAATTTCCCGGGCGCCCCGCCCCTTAACGGCCCGCCTTCGGGTTGCCAAGGCGTCGCGCCGGAAGTGACGCTACGACGGTGGCGTGGGTACGCGGGGCGATTCCGGCGACGGCAGCGGCGGCGGCAGGGGCCGTGGGGGTGGGTGTGGAGGAACCCCCCTGCATCTCTGGCGTTGTGTTGCAGGGTAGGCTTTGCGCGGAGCACAGAGGCAGCCAGACCCGACGACGTGGAGGTGGGAGCTAGGGAGGCGGCTGCTTGGCGGAAGCTCGTGAGAGGGGGCTTCCGGGGATGCCGGCACGTCTGGCTTTTAGGCTTCAGGGTTCTAGGCCTTGTAAACCTTCACAGCCGTCCCCAGGTGTGTGTGTGTGTGGGGGGGGGTCGCATGGGTGCGCGGGGAGCCGGACACTAGGGGCGTCTTCTCAGAGCATAGTATGAGGTGGGAGACAGGCTAGAGGAATGGTACCTCGCGTGGGGTTTGGGGGAGGTGGGAGACCTCAGCGGCCTAGGCTCTTGGGGCAGCCTCCCGAATGACTGCTGCAGGTCGCTCACTCGTTGCCCCGGTCTCCGTTTCCTTTTTGCACAGTGGAGCAGGGTGTCAGGGAACACCAAGAATGCCACCTCTGTGACAGATAACTTAAGGACAGAGGTGAACTGGGGTCAGGCAGACTGAGAATCCAGGGGACTTCCCTTGATTCTTTCCGGTCGTTGGTGTAAATCTGAGTTCTTTATCAGTAGTCCTTATTGATTGAGTTTATCGATAATGGATTTGTTGAGGTATGAAGGTACTGTCTTGTGTGGATAGTCATCCCCCTGATTTGGTCAGTTATATCAATAAATCTCCCACTGGAGTACTGATTACAGATGAGGAGCTCAGAAACCTGGAATGGTTTTTTTGTTGTCTTTCCTAGTAGACTGATTTCCGTCTGTTGTCTGACAAATATAGGTCTTAATACCATCAAAATGTAAGCAACTCAAAGCAGGTCACTATTTAAACTGGATTCTAATCTTATTTGTGAATGGCAGACTAAGAATATTGAGTGTAAAATTCTTATTTGTTAGGTTTTTCTGTTAAGTGAAGATGGTTACAGATAACAGTTTTTTGATTAGTTAAGAATTTGTGATTAGAACTTATTTGTGGGAATAGAGTTGTGGAATTAGCAAGTGTGTCTCAAAATTGTTTGACATCTGACCCACAGTTAGATACATTTTACTTCATGACTCAGTGTACACTATACATGCCCAAAGTGTGAACACAGACACACAGCGGAAACAAAAGTTTACCCATTCTACAAATAATGACCTCTTACATTCCTATTTCATTAAAAAAGTTGCTTGCACATCACTGTGTTGACTCTAACAGTGAGTCTGACTGCTGAAGATGTGTAGTTTTAAAAATAGTGGACTAGAAAATGCTTCTGATCTTCGTGATTCCTAAGATTCAGTAATTAATGCAAAGTAGAAAATGTCTTTCTTGTTTGTTTTTTATCAACCAGAGGGGGAGGATTACTGAGACGTTCTTCTAAATTCTGCTTAAGGCCAGAATAGGACATCCAGTTTTACATCTCATAGGAGTATAGTTTCAGTGATAGTGTCAGAATTTACTTGGTGGGATAGGGAAATGTGCTGGATTGTGGTAAAACTAAGTGTAGTCATGACTTTCTGTGTTTGGAGAGGTGTGATTCTGGTGATCTGAACTGAAACTTTATCACTTTATACACATTATGTATTTGAAGCTTTATTTACAAAGTGTGATTATTCTGAGAGTTTGTGTAGAATTGTTGATTATATAATATATTTGATAGATTTTACTATTGAAGTCCTCTGAGCCTGGGTCTTTTGTTGGTGGGAACACCTTTAATTACTAATTCAATTTCTTTACTGATGTGGATTTATGTAGATATTCTCTTGTTTGTTGAATTGGTTATGGTAATTTGATTCATCATGGGAATTTGTTCTTTTCATATTTTTCCCTTTTCTTTTTTAAACTCGTCTGCTCAACTTTTCCCACAGAATTTTCCCTAAAGCAGGAGTCAGCAAACAGATGGCGGGTTTTGTAAATCATGTGTTGTCTGCATAACTACTTAGCTCTCTCATTATAATGGGAAAACAGCCATAGACAATAGGTAAACAACTTAGTGTTCTAATAAAACTGTTAGAAGAGGGCCAGATTTGCTCTATCGGCTGTTTTCTGACTTCTCTCCCAAAGTAATAAATTTTGTTGTTGGGAATCTTTCATTGATAATTCAGTTATCTAGGCATATCAAGTTTATGATGGAGTCATGTGGAAACTGATGCCCTTGTTTGGCATATCTTTGAGTATCCTTAGCATCCCTGGTCCATTTTAGAAATTTGGACTTCATCTTGAAAATGTAGAGGTAATTCAGGCATGTTTGTAGTTTTGCCTAGGTGAGAAGGGCTGTAGCCCTCACATTATGATTTTCTAGGGCATATTTCAAGTTCTCTGTCTGGTCAATATTCTTTCTGCTTAAAGGAGACATTTGAAATAAAATTTGTTATGTAGTAGAAACTATATAGATTACCTCATTTAATCTTCACAGTGATTTTATGAGGTAGTGTCACAATTGGTATTTTTCTCTTTCTGGAGATGAGGCTGTTGAGACTGTGATTAAGATAATTAGTGTAGGTCACAGTGCTGGGAAGTGGTGACCTGGGCCTGTGATGGCTGCTCCAGAAGTCCATGCCCTTTCTATGCTGCTACTTTTTATGGAAGATATGGACATAGTACTACGGTATTAGATGTTTACCTTTGAGAACTCTGCTTTTCCCGAGATTTTAATTCTACAAAAACTTTCCCAGATAGGTGCATAAAAGGATTGTTTTTTTGTTTTGCTTTGTTTTTGTTTTAGAAATCTGTACTAACCTCTCACTCATTTATAGCCATTAGTTACAGTTTTCCTTAGCAGAAGAAGGGGTTGCTCCTTGGATCTGAATGCTGTGAGGTCTGTCTGGTGTATCAGATGAGATGAAATTCGGTAGGTCTGTAATTAGTTTAAAATTTGTAGTTTATAGGTTATTTTGGAAACTGCCACAGTTACATAATGGTCAAAAATCATTTAGGTCTACCTGAATTTGTTAACCTAAAATCTTCTTACAAGAGAAATGATACAATAGATTTCTATACTTAGCATGACATTAAGTAATCTGGGAATATTGATAGTTCTACATTTTAGCAAAATAGTTCCATATCTATAGTCTAATTTCCTATATAATATGCCAGCATAAATGGGTACTTTTGTCCATCACAAAGTTATATACAAAAATGTTTTATTATTTATTCATAATAGCCTCCAAACTGGAAATAATCCACCTGTCTATCAATAGCAGAAAGGATAAAAAGTCTTATAAAATACTAGATAGTCATGAAAAAAAAAATGAACTGTTGACGTATGGAACAAGGGTGAATCTCACAGATGTAACATGGAGCAAAACAAACCAAACACTTTAAGGGAACTTTTATGATTCCGTACTTTGTGGTAGATACCCGAATAGTGGCTACTTTCTGGGAACACAGTGGAACCTCCTGGACTATTCTGAATATTCTGTCTCAATTTAAGTGATGAGGGCCCTCCCTGGTGGCATAGTGTGTTAAAGTGCAGCACTGTGTAGCTGTCCACAGACTCTGCAGCACCTCTTAGGGAGGTGATCCATATGGTACAGTGGACCTCTCCTGAGACACCTGCTGCTCCCTTCAGCAATGTATTTTACTTGATCTGCCTGTTCTGCGCCCCACTCTGTCTTTGGTGAAATCTTACCCTCCTGCACCTCTGGCCTATACTCCAGTTCTTATATGCATAAATAAATAATTTTAAAAAAGGATTTATTTATTTATACATACAGAGCTGGGGTACAGGTCAGAGATAAAGGGGCCATGAGAGGATTCACCAGAGACAGAATGGGGAGCAGAGCAGACCGACTGATGAAGTACTCTGCTAAGGGGAGCAGGCAGGTCAGGAGAAGTCTGCCGCACCATGTGGATCACCTCCAGGGTAGGCGGGCATCAAACTCATGCTAAAGTGGCTTTAGCTTCTCAGTGCTATGCTTTAATTCACTGCACCACCAGGGAGGGCCCAATAAATAAATTTTTAAAAATTTAAGTGATGATTAGGCAGGTGAATTAATAAGATTCACTAAATTGAACTATTAAACCATGTGGATTTGCTCTATGTATTATAAACCTTGATAGGAAACTAGAAAATGAAAACCTGTTTGTCCCCCTGTAATCTCCTCCATCTCTGCTAGAGCTGTAGCTCTTCTTTTGACAATAGGTGTTAATCCTATAATTAAGTCCCCTTCTTTAGTTTGTTCATCTGATAACACTCTTTTAATTTTTTTAGATTTACTATTTTCAGTAGAGAATGACTTCTTTATGGAATAATCTATTTGTTGAATTTTAAATAATATATTAATGTGGCATCTTACATAGAGGAAAGTTTCTGATAATAGAAAAGGCAGTTTGTTGCACATTGAGTGATTACTTGTTTTAAAGTTTATTGATACAGAACCAAATTTTAAAAATACCCAGCTAGCAAGTCACATTTTAAAAATATTAAAAATATTACTCAGTTAATAGTGATATATAATATAAACTTGAACAACGGTAGTGTCTTCAAGAGGTAATTCCTCACTCCTGGTTAATTTCTGGTATTTTGAAAGTTCTTATTACTGCGTTTCATTTTGCATTTGAAATTAATATCAGGGTAGGATTATGATGGAATATAAATAATAAGAAAGGAAATTCATGCTTCTGTGACATGCTTAAAGTGTGTATTTTGTGACTTTTACCATCATCAGTGTGGAATTTGTGTGGCTTTGGAAATTCACCCTCATGTCTTAAATTCTTAGAAATTATGGATTTTCAACTCAGCGGGTGTGTGTTTTTTTTTTTGTTTTTGTTTTTGTTTTTTTTTTTGCTATTCTCCCTGCATTTTTTTATGCTTGAAATTTTCTTTTATAAAATAATAAAAAAGTGTCTTGAATAAGCTTACTAATCAATGCATTGTTTCTTTTACTTTCTTTTCTGTCAGCATAGCTTTGTGGTACTTGCTTAATTAAGTCACCAGAGTTTGTTTTTATGTCTTTGTGTTTTGATGGGACATAACTTTACCATAGCAGTGTTTTTGCTTTTTTTTGACCTTTTCTTTTTTAGATTATATGTAGGTATATTTCTGAAATGAATATTTTAAAAGAACTTAAAATGCTGTGCTATTTTGTTTTTCATGGAAAACATTAAGCAGGTAATTATATATATATATTTTAATAATATAACAGTTTATTTTTACATCATTTTGTACATTTTTTTAATCTCAGTTGTAATCCTTGTGGGTTTCCCATCAC